TTTTTTATGTAACGACAAAATGTCAGAGAAGCTTTCGTCACTGTAAATGGGAAGGAATCCCAAAAGCCAGGCATGAGCGTGTAAGTATCAAAGTATATTCAAAACGTTTGATATTTTCATTAAAATACTATTCTACGTAAATGACACATAAAGCCCGCTTCGCACGATACGTCACCTTCGTTCCGTTCTCATGTCAAGTTAATATCGGGGTTCGAACGTTCAGCATTATTTTTTATGTAGCGATACATTCGTGACACATGTGTGTACGAGGAAGCTCATTCTGTCAAACGTGTGAAGGTATGTTGAGCCATAATATAATCTCGTGTTTAGAAACGACTGATTTATGTAGTTGTGACGTGTTTTACAATATAAAATGAGCTTGATGTTACTATTGGTGGGTTGTATGGAATAATTTAAGTGTTTTGCTCCCGTTATTTCTTAACTTATCTGGGAAAGAAATTGCCGTAGCTCTTGGGCTTTTATGCGAAAAATAGAATCATGCGTTAAATTTGTTTAGTTGAAAATAATTTTAATTTAAAAATAATTGAAGTACCTTAAAAATACATTTAAGACTTACATGTACCTATATAGATGTTTGGTAATGGATACTTCTTTAGGAGATTACCAACAATGCTAGGTGTAGGTAATAATGTTGGTTCTAATGTTATACTTCTGCTCAACCAAACGGAAAATAAAATAACTAAGGTCCATTGCCACGTAAGGGATCAAACCCTAGGTATGACGTAATAATACTGACATTTTCCGAACCAACTACTAACCTTGAACGAATAACAAATATAATATGTATTAGGCCTTAAGGTAGACCTAAAAACTGAATCATATCAAAGTAAAAACAATAATAATAACGTAGATGATGTGTAGAAGAACGTGAACAAAATAATAAGTGGAGAATTATTTATGATAGAGGGACATCATAAAGTAGTATGATGAACGAGTTAGGAGTTGCCAGTGCACTAAGCTGGCAACAGGGTCGACTATAAAGACGTGTTCCGAAGATCATATATCTCTGAACAATTTCTGAACGGAGCGCTTGCTCTCCGAAGGTTCGAGACTAGAAATAACGTACGATTCGTTCAGAACAAATGTTTCTATCTCACGAAGTCGAAGTATAAATAAAGCAAGTACTAAAAAGGGGTTTCGAAGAATACAAGGATTTTTTTATAACTAAAACGCGGTGGATCTTTGGCAGCTGTCTAAATGTCACCAAACAATCTTACTAATATTATAAATGCGTTAGTTACGATGTTTGGATGTTTGTTACTCAATCACGCCAAAACGTCTGGACGGATCTGGATGAAATTTGGCAGAGGCATGGGATACTCTCCGGAATAGGACATAAACTACTTTTTAGGAACATACCACGCGGGCAGAAACTAGTAGGTAGTGTTTTTGGGTATTTTCACACAAAACAGATTTTACTGAATTTGTACTTCTAATGTGTTGCAGTTTATCTATGGTAAGTAAGTACTTAAAATACTGCAGCATGTGTCTAAGAAATCAGAGCGAACAACCAATAGGCAAAGAACATGAGTTCTTTATGAACATGAGCTAAAGCTTTAAAATTTTCATCAAATTCGTTAATAAACACTAAACCTTATTCCAAAATAGTAAAGTTAAAAATATACAAGCGAAAACATATTTAATTACCTAGTGATTGTAATGTATACGGTAGAATATTCTAGAAACATAATTTGTATTGTAATCTCAAATATTTGTAACAATATAATATTTGTTTAACTTTATACCTAAACACTTTTATCAGGAATACAGGGAATAAAGTTGATTATTGAATAAGAATAATGTTTTTGTATGCTTTTGGAAAGTTTTATTATAAGGTTAATCTTTACTGCTATTTTTATGCCCACTGCGAGCAAAGGCCTATTTTCACGGAGGTTTGATCATTAATCACCACGCTTGTTCAAGGATTGGCGATTTCAAACTTATAATTAGAAATTATTAGTCCAGTTTTGCTCACGATGTTTTCTTTGACCATATTTAATCTGTCTAAATAATGATAAAAAGTACATATAAATCGGTAAAAATCATTTAACTTGCTTTGTTTCGAACTAGCACCCTCATGCATGAGAAGCGGGCACCTCAACTTTCGGGACATCATGTCTCATATCATGTTCTGTAAGAGTAGCTAATGAATAGGTAATCTCTCTGTCCCTTACCAGCATATTGGCTATGTGCGCGACGATGGCGACGCGTAGCGTTTACAACATATGCTTAAGCTGTCAAATAGTAAATATAAGCAAAGAATAAAATTGTATTGTAGACATTATTTAAGTGCAATTTATTCAATAATTTAACAATTTTCAATAGTTTTTTTGCAATATAGTATGAATATAATACTAAAAACTGACAGCTGATTATCCGCATTAGTTTCCAATTTCTGCCGTGTTGTGCGCTGCGGTCGTTATCGGTCCGCCACTACTCGCTTTGCTCGCTTAGTCAATAGTGGACAACCATGTACTGCTACCATGTAATTGTGGATCAAGGTTGCGAGTGCAGGTGCTATGGCCCCGGCCTAGAGCAGGAGAAGGAACAAGGTGGCTTTTAGTCAGTAAGAGTCTGACGCTCCCTCTTAATCCACCAGGGTTGGGAGAAGTTATTTGGTGATTTTCTTCGTCAACAAAGGGAAACCTATCTTTCTCTAGGTTTCGTAAGAACTGTTAATTTCTACAAGCTGAACTGCGAGAGTAAAATATTGCTTAAAGTCAAAACTTTATACTTTGCCATTATATTTTATTAAATTACCTAAATTATTACTTTTCTTACTGATTTTCTATTATTGACTTATTTTATTTTGTTATATACCTAGTTTATTTATGCTTCTAAATGTTAAAGTAGAAATCGAATTCCTTATTCTTTTAAAATGAAGATGCCAGTGAAAACATAAAGGTACCAAATAAAATTCACTCAGATTTTCCATTTGACCCAAAGGTTGACTGGTAGAGAATGCCATATGGCATTAAGTCCGCCTTTTGTACCAACTTCATTTCATTGTGTACAATAAAGCATAAATAAATAAATAAATAAATAAAATAGACATAAAATATTGCGTAGGAATCTATTATTATTACAACTAGAAATGATAAAAACAGAAAACACATCTCTAATATTTTTTCCGAACTTGGTTGTAGGTCGAATTTAAACTTTCTCAGCAGTGACATTTGAATCTAACAGCCATCAAACGTCAGGAATAGTTAAAAAGGACGGCATAAATGATGAAGAAAAATATTTAAAAATGTACACGTAACAGACTCACTCCAGGGATTCAGTTTAAAGAGAAAATAAATAAGTTGAGAAGCGTTGTTTTTTCATGTTGTTGTGTTGGATTTCCCTAGAGAAAGACTTTTTATTATCATCTTTTGTTGTAAAGAATGTAGTTGTAGATACCATTTTCTGTTTCTATGATGCATACTTATTAATATAAATGTCATTGTCTGTCCAATTACACTTTTGAAAAGAGCTTGATAAGCCCCTGTATCTCTGTTTTTACTTACGTAGCAATGAAACAATGAAACAATGAATTTATTTTTGCAAATTGGCCATAAAACGGCACTTTTACACGTCAATTTATATGTGAAAAACTAGATGAAGCCGGATGATAGCGTCTTAACGTATCAAAAAACATTCATTTACAATAACACTATAGGCCACAAAACACCCATTTCTGAGCTCGGCCAACCTTATTTTTGTAAGGATGGATAATAAAATAACAAATAAAATAAATTCTCCCTAAAATCAAATGACAAGCAAAATCACCTTTAATGACTGCCAAATCAATTTTCATTAATAGGCGAAGAAAAATGTATTACAGAAGTTTTTTTGTGTTGAATATCATCAAATGATTTGGGTGAGGCGAGAGAGGCTGTCATACTCTTACTGACTGAAAACCAACCCGTTCTTTCTCCTGCTCCACGCCACACTATGACGGTAGATCCGCATCCCCGGCTCAGAAACAAGTTAAAAATCTTCCAACAAAAATAAACAAAATAACAAAACAAAAACAAATAACTGCAGCAGTCATAAAAATGTTCATTTTTGTAAATATTAAATAAACAATCATTTGCTGTTTTTGTAGAGAGCATTTTCCTCAACAGGAAGGCTAGTGCAATCGTCTTTTTAGGTTTATTTTTAAATAGTTAAATACTTCTTAATAAAACTTCTGGAAATGCATTTCTGCATTCTATTCTTGTTGGTAAATGTTTGTGTGGAAATCAGATTAAAATAAACATGATTCGTTGAATATTGCTGATCTTGAGTTTACTCGGGAAATTAGGTTAGCCTCGTAGGAGCAGTCTGTTCGAACGCCTACTGAAGGTATCAAATATTATTAATTAAATATATTTTGTTAATACTTTATTACTAGAACTAAATCTTGTAGGATTTCTAGTATTATAAACACGTTACAAAGTATCAAGAGATGGATATTTGTTACTTGCTGTTCCTCATTAAGCTAATGAATGGGATTTAATGAGAAAATGAGCACACAGATCGATTTTTTTTATGAGACAGCTCGGCGGACCAGCCTACTGATTACCTGATGGTAAGCAATCAGTGCCGTCCATGGACACCCGCTTTAATGGAAGAGTTACGAGATCATTGCTGACCTTGTAGGGATTAGGGATTTGGAGATTTTAGGGTTGGGGAGGGATTGGGGGCGGGGAAGGATTGGGCTTCCGCACGAAACGAACGCTGTAACTGTTTCATGCCGGCTTTCTGTGAGGCAGTGATAACACTTCGATCGAGCCGATCCATTCGAGCCGAAGCATGGCTCTCCCATATTTAAAAATTATAGTCTGGAATAACGCGTAGGCTTTTTATCTGGGTGACGCAAAGTCTCTTTAACTCTCTCTCCCTTTCTCTCTGGCATAGGCTAGAAATCTTACACGTAATCAGGCAGTAATGTATTAAATTTTAGTTATTCAAATAAAAAGAAATCATATTCAACATATAAATATAAATTTTATTTATTTACACATTTTGTTGAAAAATGCACGGCACGGGTAGATTTTCGCTGAAGCTCTAATGTTATGGATAACAGTAATATAGGCGGTTTCTACAACACGACATAGTGTGTTCTTCCTCAATGTTACTTTCTTGGTCTCAAAGGAAGGCTTCAATGCTCTAGCATCGGCATCTGTAAAAAATACGTAATTGATAATTTTAATAGTATGTTTTATCTTCTACGCCGTCCAAAACTGAACTTTAAAAACTGTGGCTAGAAAGGTCGTATAAACCATTTTGGCCGAATTGAATTATATATACCATTTTTCTCAGAATTATTATTATTTCTATCGATCTGTATATACAAAATGCAGAAATTCGCACAAAAATGGTTAACACGACCCAAAAATTTTCGGACATAGTCTCTTAAAAAAAGTTAAATTTCAATGTAAAAGCCGAATGTTTTTTTTTAGTTACTTTGTGATGTAATGACCATAATTTATAGGTATATTAACTCAGGGCGTAAAATAATCGTTACTTGTAAATGGTTTATACGCCCTAATGTGTTAAATTGTTAAATGCATTACTTAAATATAGTTTAAATTCAAAGTCGTAAATCGCAATCCGTGTATAAACCATGTTCATTGCAAGAAGCACTTTACGAACAACATACAAGGTGCGTATTTGGCGCGCAGCGACCAGATATCTTCTTTAGTTTTTAAGTAAAAATCTATTCTTAGTTAATTCACCCCATGAAAATGTACTTTAAAAAAACTGTATAGGTTGTATATCCATTTTAGGTAAGCTTATGGTCATATTTACTGTCGTAAAACTCCATTTATGTAGTTTTTTTTTTGTATTAAAAACCATTTATAATCATTGATCAATTGAATTTTGACTAATTAACAATCCTGTTACTCTCAGAATTAGTAGGAACTCAATTATATTTTACTAATACCCAATAATGGTCGATTCAAATAACCTGAAAAATTAAGAAAGATATAAAATGTATTACCAACTTTATAATATAATAGCTATAATATAATAAATTACAAATAGAAAAAGAAAAAATGTAATCAATAGTATAGATCCTTAGGAAATAGTTTAAGTATGAACATTTTATGGTTTAGATATCTATTCTTACTTCTATATTAATATTACCTATACAGAACTAAAATTTGTAAGTTTGTATGTAGGAGGTAATCTTTGGAACCGCTCATAGGATTACTAAAAATCTTTCACTAATAGATAGCTATAATTTTCCTGAGTACTATAGGCTATAAAACATCACGCTACGATTAAATGAAACCGCGCGAGAGTAGCTAGTATAAATATAAAGTCTATTAGTGAAATAATTTTGGAAATCCGACCAGCAATTCCAAAGATTACCCCCTACATACAAACATATAAACTTACAAATTTTACCTCTTTATAATATTAGTATAAATAATGTTAGCAACATAATTATCATTGTTCTACATATCAATTAATTATGGACAACTTTGACCTTTCACTCTTTTATCAACTAATAATCGATCAATTCATTGTTTATTTGTCAATATAATTTTGTTTTCATTTGAAAACAAGAGGAAATCCCAAGCTATGTCAGGAGTACGTAGTGTACTCCTGACGAGTATCATCTGATGTGGGTGTTATCCGAATGCGATTGGCACACAAAAGGGAGAGTCAAGTGGCATTATGTTGGTAGATTCCTTACTTTGTGTTCCTTATGCTGAAGATTTATGTAATCAATATAGTTTAGAAACAACTTCTAGTAGATAAATTGTCACCATACAACGAAGAACTTGGCAATAGAATTTAGCACAGTTCCAGTCCTTTATTTTGTGAGTTCAAAGTTTGTTTTGCTCTAGAGTTGGGATGTTTCAGAAGTAAAAATTGCCTTGTTTTCAGAGCTACTAAAGGTTGTTCACTGTCTCTGTTCTGTCGTTAATATGATAATATGATACATACCTTGGTCAATGACGTTTTGCAGATTAGAATCAAGCTTTATATCTGGTTCTCCAAGGATTTCGCAAGAGTTTGTCTCTGGTCCAACTTCAAAGTATTCCAGATCTCCCTTCTGTACCAGTGAGTAACCATACTTTGAGTTCCCTAGGGCAGCTGTGAAGAAGAAAATATGGTAAGTTGATTATTTTCTAATTATTATCAATCTGCAAATCCCTAATTTTTAATTTTCTAACCCACAAATGCTTCTTTTTAAAGTGACTTGTTTTCTTTGTTGTCTACATATGGGCAAATTCATAATGATTTTTTATGGTGTCATCCAAAGTACTTCTTCCCAGTTTAGGTATTTCTTCTGCCCTGGGTTCCACCAGAGGGAGATTCAAACTCTTACTAACTAAAAACCACCTCCTTCCACTAACCGACTACTTCTTCTGCTCCAGGCCATAGCCGTGGTATGGTACGTTATTCCACTAGCACCCACAACCTCGGTTGGGAAATCATAATGGTTAAGTACTGGCTTAAATTTGCACTTACTATAGGCGGCTGAATAAACTCCATTGAATACTTTGTTGTGCTTTGTCAGTGAGATTTTGACGTCACCCACGATATTGAATGTTGCTTTCGTTTTCAAAACAACTGATTTCTTGTCAGTGTCCATTCTGCAAATAAATTATGTAAAAAGGTTATCAACGTGATAACGATGAACGCAATTAGTGCTATCAATAAGTTGTTGCATTTTTATTTCTTGTTTTTCTCATATAATGTTTCGTAATCTTATGTGTGGTCATAGTGTTATTTTGTAATTTGAGTACCTACAGCTCAGTCATTTGGTTTTATTCCTAAAATATATTATAACAATTAGGCATGAGTTCAAAGGCACTGATTTATCACGATTGATGGAGACAACAACGGATAACAACAAAAACATTTTTCCACTTGATAAAGGTTAGCTCATAAGGCCGACTGACAAAAAAATCAAGTCCATGTTTCATCGCGTTCATGTTGTTCATATTGTTTTCACCGGTATGTCTGTGAATTGATGTTCAAACAATCTTAGAATGCACATAAGTATAACTTGGAAAAAATCACATGGATTGATTGATTTTTCTTTTGACTTTTCAGGTTTTGCACCGTTGCATGAGAAGTGTTGACGGATGACCAACCGACGGATACCGTTAGAGTAGTTACCAAGGAGTGATGTGAAAAAATATATCCTTTTAGTAGAACCCAAAAGGATTTGAAAGCAAATATTGAAGACTCAATACGGTAGTTTCCAACTAGTCAAATTCAATACTTTTATCCAAACGTCAAAAACGATACTTTTCTATGAAATTTGTATGAAAAACTGAGCTATGACGTCATAACATTTTTGCGTCAAATAGCTTACTTATTTCACAATAAATAGCTTAAAATAATCTAAAACTTGGTGTATCGATCGATCGATGAATAAAAGTATACTTATGTTTCAATGTTTTATAATATCGAAACATCGAATTAATTTATTGTTGACCTAGGAAACTACGCAATTTGCTTAATTTGGTTCAATGCACATTGCTGTGCTTTTAGAAGTAAAATAAAAACTTCAGAATCCAGGCATTAACGTTCCCGATAAGGTATTGAGACTACAAGTTTCAGAATTTTACCTGAATGCTTCATTCAAAGCTGTTCCAGACCAAAAACCAAAAGGAAAAGTGTGTTGAAGAAATAATTGGAATTCGCAAAATGCAGTTTGGTTAAATGGTGTAACGGTAAAAGATTAAACAAATTAACGGATTTAATCGCATTGCCTTTGTATAAGGATGAAGAATCATAAAATGGTGCGGAGGAGTGTCAAATTCTTACTGATAAAATATCACAATTCAAATCTTGCTCTATGCTGGAGCTGTGCATATCTAGCGTCGAAAAAACCCGACAGGTCATCGACCCTAGTGAGCTTTGTCTATGGTGAAACGTGATCAAATCATCGATGTACGTTTATTTTCAACCGTACTAATGCTAATTCTAGATCAATGAACTTGATTCTAAGCAACTAATGTAGGATTCAAAATAATAAGATGCTTACCTGAAGTCCGAAATCTGTTGGTTCTTAAGTCCTGTGACATTGAGGTTCTTAAATTCAAAGTACAAGCCCATATCTGGATCAACTTCATATTTCAATTCTGGTATGATCAGGGGATCGATTGCTTTAATATCATAATCAGGAAGCCCATGGCAGGTTTTTTCCAAAAACGATTCCGTTGCGGCACTTAGACATTTGATGTCATCCTTATCACAAGGTTCGAAAGGTGCTCCTGGAATTTCGATATTTTATTAATAATTCGGATGACAGTTCCAAATATTCAAAAATAAAGATTAGAGTGTAGATTGACACATTTTGATATTTGATAAAACTTTATGAATGTCAATGCACAAAACGAATTAATCCTGTGTTTAATAACAAATAACGTAAATAACGTAAGAAATCACATACCAAACTCAGAAAGGACACAGCCAGCGAACGCAAGCACTAAGAAGCTCCTATAAACAGCCATGTTGCAGGTACGCTGTCCAAATGAGGAATAATTAAGAAATGATCAGTGACCAATTTATCTGGACACTTTAATATGTTTATTAACTGATATAACATATGGAGTGAAGTGAATAAGAACTTTGATTACAAAGGTCGCAGTTATCTAACGCATATTGACATAACGTGATAATGACATTTGTGGTATTATAATGTTGATTATTTGCTGGGAATAGTTCAATGTTTAGGAAGTGATCGTTGTTTTCCAATAGAGAGCAAGTTCGAGGATATTCTGGAGGTTAAGGTCAATATTGTCTTTAGTATAATTATTTAGTTTGATGTTAACAATAAATTAACATAAAGAGACTGCCATTGTCTTTTAAGTCACAAAACATTAAACATATTGACTACCAGTAGATAGAAAGCTCATGCTTCAGATATAAGATACTTTCTGTGGGTGATTCTAGAATTCTCCTATTTTCTTTTACTAACTTTACTGTGTAATAGCCAATAAACTTTTTGTCGAGATAAAATCATCAGCGACTTGGTTTTTTCCATGCCAAACAATAATCATCACACGTGTTTTTTCATTACATTCTTTTTTCAACGTTTATCAAAATATCTCTCGAATTTTTTGCTTGAACATCAAGCGACTAGGTACCGTTCAGATATCAGAGGGGAACGTATTCCATAATAAAATGGCCTAAACAAAGAAGAAAAATGGAAGAAGATGGTACAGTGAGTGGGGCATTGGAGAAGACGGTTATAAGAAGAAAGAAAATATTTTTGTGGTTTGCATAAGACAAGTGTATTGAAAGTAAGGGGCTAGGTAGCTGGACAAACAGGGTGAGACAAGGTAGGAGAAAAGATTGGTTAGCGCCCTTTGCTTCCTGCGCTGGCAAATGGGCAACCACTTTAATAGCAGCCGATGTGCAGAAACTTCATCATATTTATGCAGGTCCTTGACCAAATCGAATGCAGCTATTCAAAAGTCGATCAAATTTATTGAGGAGATCTGCATTCAGGGCGTAGTAACAAACAGCAGCATAGTCAAGAATAGGGAACCGCAAGGCCTGCATTTTTAACACGATAAAGTGCTCGCAATAAGCCCATGGCCCTCTTACACATATTTATATTTTATCGACATCAATTTATATTGATGTCGATGATTAAACCAAGATCCTTAACGCTGCCAATGAAAGAATGATCAAACCATTGAAACGGACAGCCTGTAAAATAACTTAAGAAAGAAAATAATTCTTAATATTATGATTAAAATTATATGAATAAAGTAAATGATTAAGGCCGCTAATGCACTTGTGACTCCTCTCGTGCTGCAGGTGTCCAAGGGCGGCGCAGGTCACTTACATATCGTCAGATAATTTGTCAGCCCATTTAAATGTAGCTTAGCAAATATTGTGAGCCAAAGTTATTTATATCCATTTAAAAGAAATACTATATAAAATATTTTTAACTGTCAATACAAATTTAGGTTTATACAAACGAACGAGTACAATTTTTTGCAAAAAAATCGCACCTGACCTTAGTCAAGGCCACAGTGCGTAGCGAGAAGAACTGAGAAGCCGCCTCCTCTTTCTGTGAAGCAGTTATGCTGGAGGCAGACCGCGTGAGGGAGCTATTTTTCTCCTCACATCCCGGCCGCCGCAGTAAGCGACACTCCGGGCGTCAGGGATCGACAGACGATCTCAGACTCACGGCACAGTACAAATATCATACAGTATTGTAACTCGGCCGCTTGAAAGAAATAAATACCTACAGCCGCGCGGTACGTAAACATGCGTTAGGGCTGCTCGTCTCCATTATTTTAATTACCTTTGTCTACTTTCTGTTTCCATTTACTTTTGTGATTGTAAATATCCTTTTTTTTATATAAACAAATAAAGTGCTTTAAAAATAAACAAACAAAATTTCTTTGGCCACTAATGCCGAACTGAACAGCTGACTACGAATGTTCTAAAATCACAACCCTCAAACATCAAAATATTACATGAGTCTAGCTGTTATTATTGTTGTTATTAAAACCGAGAGAAAAAAAACAGTTTTTATTGGTATTATGTTGTTAAAGCAGCAGCAAAAACTCTTTATGAAAATTTCGAAAACTATCTAATGACACAGAGACTGTCAAATTTATTTTTTCTAGTATTATTCATAAACACAGATAATAAACAAATATTATTAATAATAAAATACCACACTCTCTACTTTTAATTATACAAACTAACAAAACATACATGGACCGTTTTAACACAAGCGTAAGTAGGTAGGTACCTAACGTATCATGATTCATTCAGAACCAGAACCGCCTATAACTACCTATTTCACTCGTCTCAATATTCATATTATTTATAAATTCAAACACCTGTTTTCGTGAGATAACTGGAAATAATGATCCATTATAAAGACACACATTATGTACCTACCTAGGCTACAGTACTAGTAAGTAAAATTATTTTATAGTCTTACCTTTCAGAGTTTCCAGGTAATTTAAAAAAAAACTTATGTCTGGATGCGTTATTGACGAATTCATGCAACCAAACACAGCACAATATTTCCTATTCGTCATATTAAATAATGTACTCGAGCTGATTTCTAAATAAAAGACAACACACCGTCCGTTCGTCACTGCGGTACAGCCGCGTCTGTCTGCGTCCCGAGCGCGTCCCGACATCGGGCGCGTAGGTATAGTTCGCGTTTCGGCCGTTTCTATGAAGTTGAAATACTTGTAGATATTATTACCTTGCTCACGGTTTGCGGACGGCAAGTAACAGAAGAACAAGACGCGTACGGTGCGGAGCGTTTCGCGCGCGCCTCAAAGAGCCAATAAACCACCACAGACAAGGCCCTATAGGGCTGATGTTCATCCGGCTGTGTGTCGGAGCAGTCGAAGGAACGGGGGGTTTATAGTCAGTAAGAGTCACTGACACGTGACACTCCCTCCCGACCGACCCTGGGCGGGAGAAGTCATTTGATGATTTTCCTCTCCCAAAAAAAGATCTCGCTCTCAAAAAATAAACACACTTTAGTACCCGGTGGCCTCTTATCATTAGGTAGGGAAGTATGCATTATGATAATGTGAAAGTTAATGACAATGTATGTATGTTTAATATTCTTTCACGCAAAAACGTCTGGACCAATTCGGTATGTAGATAGATGATGCCCTGGATTAACACAGGATGTTTTTTAACAATATACCACGAGGGTTACGCCGGCAAAAGCTAGTAGTAGCATAAAACAGCAAACTGGACAAATTTTAAGGAAATTCCACTTAAATTAATTATGATAAGTATGTATTGTATTTTTATAGAAATATTCTTAGACATTATTATAGACATATTATTATAGGTAATAAGCATGTCCGCGTCAGTAAACGGATGGTGATAATAAATTGCAAGAATTTATGAAGCGTAAATGTCGTTTGATATATTCTTTAATCGCTTGTTGTTTGTATGCCCATTCGACCTCAAAATATTTATTGTGTTCGTACAGGGTGATTAAATTGAACATAGAATTAAAACACTAATTTATACGCTCGGTAGTGCGGCAAGCCAAATTCAAAACGTTCTATTTTGAACTTGGTATGTATCACTGCGTGTACTTAATACTTGCATGATCTACATATTTGGAGTTCACCAATTGTTCTTGTTAGAACGCATAGTCTGCTGTCTGTCTGCTGCCTGCCAGACACCGGGGCATTTAAATTTGGCCAACAACTGGATCTGTGGATACAAGTGCCTCTTTTCGAGTTCACTACAGTTCACGTATCAAACAAAAAGAATTGTTTTAAGACGATAGTACGTTTTGATAAATTTTAAATAATACCTACTTTATCTTTTCAATTTTGGTTCATCAATTTTTGAAGTTTTACTTGTAAATAAGAATTGGTAGAAAGCAGATAATTCTTATTTTATTTACTGTATAGAATAATTATATATAAATACCTACGGATCTATTTGTGTTATGCATGCTCCTATCAGTTATTTGTAGGTGATTTTAATTCTTTGAACTGTCTAGAGTGACTGTTGATTTAAGTATAATTCATTTATTTTGAAAGTATTTAAATATCAAATTCTTATTTGGTTACATTACTATAATTAATTTACTAGCTTCCACCTGCGGCTGCGTCCTGGAACGTTCATACAAGACAGCCTATGTGTCCAGGGTCACTTATGTACATACCAAATTTTAACCAAATCGGTCCAGCCATTTTTTGTGTAAAATTATCGCAAACTTTTTTTTTTATAACATATAGGTAGTTTGTATTATGATTGACTATACATACCTATATATAAGACGTCCCACAGTTTGCAATCAACCTGTAGTTTTGCATAATAAGTTCAAAAATTTACATTTGTTCTTAAAATAAAACTGAAGTATTCTTATCACAATGTTTACTACATGCAGATGAACTCAGTGGGTATTCACAATTATTTGAATGTCATGATGATAATACATGGGGATAGAATTGTGGGCGACTATTCTAGAATTGGCTATTTTATTTAAAATAAAATATCAAAATTATAATTTTAAGGTAAAAATGATACACTTTCATTCGGTTTTTTATATAAAAAACAGTTCTATGTTATTTTAGAATAATAAGTTTTAAATTCCCGATTCAAAAACTACGGGGTGTTATAAGTTTTGACGTGTCTGTCTGTGGCATCGTAGCTTTCAAACGGATGATCCAATTTCAATGCGTTTTTTTTTGTTTGAATGGTGTTTTCACCTTTTACTATATTAATTGCGTTTTATAGGACGGGGCTTCTTAAACATTTTTATTTATTTTATATAATGAAAATTTGTAAGTGTGGTTTAAGTAAATCAATTTTCGTCGTTTTTGGTACGTATGTAAACCAACAAGGCCGTAGAATCTCATGGTTGCCATGACTACGCTGGTAACCTTGGTCCCCGTCGACACCCAGTGAAAATCAATCATCTTAGGGTTAAATACTGATTATTATTATAATACTAATGCCTTTTAGATTTGTTGGACATTGTATCCCGGAAGTTAAAGCGCCATTCAGGACAATGCACATTAATATTTTTTATAGTGTCTCAAATTATTAATCTTACCACGAA